GGGGGATAAAGTGAGGAACGGCCGGAGGGCTAGAGTGAGCAGAGGCGGCGGGCTTGAGAACGGCGCGGCCGGCGATTTCGACGAAGGAGCGTCCGGAAGGACATGTGACGACTCCGGGCTGGACTCTGCTTCGTCCACGGTGAAAGCCGATCCAGCGATCCACAGCGCAAAGTTGATGTATTCCCTTAGCGACCAGCACGGATCAGCTCTAGGGATGACGAAGCGGATATCGTCCTCTTTTGAAAGTAGTTTCGCTTTCACAACGAAGCACACAGCGTCTTCAGGACATGGCTGCAGCGTCAACAATACTACAGCGAGAATAAAAGTTACGCCTTTTTTCTTTGCGTGAACATTTGGGCGGTGTTATGCAAATCTTCCCACATAGTGTGGTAGATATGTTGGGGGCGTGTTAGAACGAGCCGTTTTAGGAGGGTGTGGTTAACTCTTAACTTTTATAAAGAATATCTCTTTGGTTTTGAGACTTTAGTGTTTGCAACTTTACAGATCTTCTTTATGCACCAAGAGCTTGTAACACTCCAAAGAGAAAGGAAAAATTGAAATCGCATCATATGACCCCTTTAAAATCACTTAGGTCATTCTATATTAAACATTTGAAGGTGTACCAGATCCAAATCTGGATTAATGACACTATTTCATAAGAGGTTCCCAGCAAACACAGAACGTTCCCCTAACGTTAGTTTTTGGTTCCCATTTGGTTATTTTTTTGGGAACCAAAAACTAACGTTCCGGGAACCAAAAATTGTTAGCTGGGTTACACCTCATGATGCTTTATCCAAACGATGTCAGCGCATCTGTCCAAATAAAACAACCATGTTCTTACATTTGATTTTTTTTTTTAGTCAGTGCTTGTGCATTGAGGTTCTAATGTTCCTATCTAAGCCACCTTCAAGTACAGGCAAAGAGGTGTGTTTTGGCGTAAAACCACGTATTTTTCCACTGAATTTGCATGCAGGTAAATCCCTCCCGAATGTGCCTTTCAAAAAAAACAGAAATCATATATTAATAATTACAAATATGTGTAATAATACGTACTTTTTTTTCAATTTACGAAAATCAATAGATATATTTTTATTTTATTAATGGTTCTTACGCGAATTAAAATTACGCGAAAGAGGTCAATGCATCTTTAAATACACTTTAAAAGCATGCGACAGTTTCCTGGCTATTTTGCAATCATCCTTTGAAATACCGATGATGACCCTCAGGAGGCGCCAGCGACATGTTTGTTTGAAAGGCCCACATGAGCACTCTGACGTAGGGTTGAAATCTAGCCAGGTAACGGTGTCGCTGCAAACAGGAAAATTACTTCTTTTAGTCGATTTATTTGGCGATAGATTAGAGGGACAGAAGCGTTACAATGCCGGGTAAGTCCTCTTAACAGCCCACATCTTCAAAAGGAGTCATGTTTAATCTTTTGACTTTGTAAGTGCAGTGTGCTGGTCTCACTCTTTGTTTTGTAAAATGGTAGCCATCGATGAATACGTAGAGCAGGAACAGAAACAAATCGACACATTTAGCGTGCAATACAAAGCAAATTAAGCCGTTATAGGCTGACTTGGCAGAGCTCGTGTAAAGCGCAGTGTAGATGGAGGCCTAGTGAGATGTATGTGATGCAGGCGTATGGCTAACTCACTCACGCATCCACCATGCTCCCTCATTTACTTAACGAAATCCTTTAAAACTTAACTATTACAAACAACTGGCGTCCGTTTTTGCTTCAGTAGGATTCAAATGACATTCAAACGTTGCTCTGCAGGGCCAGGCAACATTTTTTCACGTGGAAAGACTGCTGTTGTTATGGCTCAAGCTAACACGCATAGCTTCACAATACACGCTAAAGTTAGATAAGTTAGATCAAGTGTTTTATTCGAAGGTAGGGCACATCTTACAGCAAAAAGGAAGCTGTAGATTTTTTTGATTTTTTTTTAATGGTTTATACTATACATAGTTTTCTCTGGAGCCTTAGCCAGGCCTCATGTTACAATGAATCAAATCCATGTGGAGAAAGATGGTGTCGACTGATCTCCTCTTTGTCTCATTTATGCAACACACCGATAGTTCGTAACAGGTAGTTATATAATGTTCTTTAAACCATGTGCGTTACTCACTGTGTCGTGTCGCAGGTATTAGAAGAACGTAATAAACATTATTGTGCCTTCATTTTGTAATATTGAATGTCTAATTTGCTAGCAAGTTGTGTTTATGCGTGAACAGTCTTAAACAGAGAGGGGCTAACGTTAATCGTTCTTATTGTGATAATGACTTAAATTTGCTTATGTTTTATGGTTTTTAAACTTGAATTGTTCATTTAACATGCACATTGAGTAAAGTTTTACAGATGCATATAATCTAAACTAATTGTATCCAGTGCCCCATAAATCTTTGTTCGTTGGTTTTAGTTTTATGTGTGTGTTTGAGGTACTATGTACTAAGAAAGGGATCAGTATTAATATAGCATTTTACACCCCCAGAACCTGCTGATATTAACAGTCCAGAGGTAGCAAAGACACCAGGAGGAGGCAGCGGATCAGGGAAGGATGAGAATGTTGTGAATGGACACAAGGAGGGGGACGCAAACCCCTTCGCAGAGTACATGTGGATGGAGAACGAGGAGGAGTACAATAGACAGGTCAGTGTGAACCTGCTGAACGCATATGCCTGCTGTATGTATACTTCTAAATAGGAGGATTCACAAGTTCAGTTAAACTTATTAAAGGAAATTCACACACATTTGTCATTTACTCGCCCTTATATCATTACAAACCTTTGTGACTATCTTCCATAAAACAATTTTAATTTGAATGAGTGGTTGTCACAAACATTCACATTACGGCTGCACGATATATCGTTTTAGCATCTATATCGCGATGTGCGCATCCGCGATAGTCACATCGCAGGATGTGCGATGTTTAGTATATGCTACTGATTGTTATATTTATACTTATTGTTTTCTTTGCTCACACACAGACACGGTGTCTACACCGGACACGACAGCTGTACAGAGATACCCATTTTAAATACATTTAGTAGTGGAGCTACTGCAAGTGATCAGTACTGCATATCATTTGAACTTTGTGTCAGTATGTCATAAATAGAACTGTCAGTTTACTGTCGGGGATTTGTCGTGCTGCGCCGCATTCAGTGTAGACCGCGTCACTGATAATGAGTTCATTGTATTTTGTCGTCTCGCGCCGCACCACTCGCGTCCGGTGTAGACACAGTGAGAGCCACGCAGATGCACGTGAACTGAATTCTGTTCACTTCTGCGTCTATTTGTGCCTGAAATACTGTGCTCTGCAAGTATCCTTGTAAATGCAGTTGCTTAGGTGAAGCATATCGCAATATATATCGCAGAAAAATAAAATATCGCAATGTGAGTTTTTTCCAATATCGTGCAGCCCTAATTCACATGTAGTCAATGCTACAGATTTTTTTTACGGCAAGGTGTTCTAATCTCTTTTCCATCGCCATTTGAATAAAACTGGCCAACCAAAAAGATTCACACTTTGTTGCATGCTTAGAGCCAAGTGAAAGTGAATAGCAGAGAAAAAATCCAAAAAAATGTATTTGGTGTTGTTTGGTAAACATCACAGAGAATACAAAAATCAGATTTCTGCTTTTCTATAAGCACCACCTATTGTCAAGAGAGTGAGCTTGCATTTTCAGTCAGCCAGTATGTCATTTTTATGCATTGGCCTGAAAAGACAAATCACATGCAAAAATCGGCCTGAATTTGTGAACCGGAGTTTAGGCTGGATGTTATGGCGGTTTTCCACTGCGTGGTACGACTCTGCTCGGCACGGTTCGGCTCGGTTTGCGTTTCCACTGCAGTTTAATATCGCTTTAGTGTGGGCGGGATTATTCACATGTCGTTATAGTTGCGCCGCGACTCCTGAAAAAAGTTTTCATTCCGCGTCGCCCCATCAAGCTCTCGCTGGATCCGCTCCTCTGCTATCAATGAGAGGAACGTCTGTACTTCCTCAACAGGGGGAACAGCCACTTTTTGGTTGTTAAAAAAAAGGTGCGCTCGTTCAAAACAGTTGCGTTCGAACCGTCGCTGGCTGTGCTGATTTAAATCTAGCGGTTCTGTTGTGTTTGTGTCGCAAGTTCAGTGACTCAGGTAGTGACGATTCTCTCCGGCCAATACGTGATCAGCAGAGTTTACACGTCACGTTTTTGTAACGGTACGGTTCACTTGGAACCCCAACCGAGGTGGTACTAAAAAAAGTACCAGGTACTGTACCCAGTGGAAAACCCCCCAAAAGTGAACTGTACCGTGCTGTACCATGCAGTGGAAAAGCGCCATTAGAGTTTCCATTTTCCTTCCAAGAGAAGTGGATGGTGATTATGTGTGGCAAAAGTCATTCACTGTTAATCTTCCATTGTGCTACAGTTTTCAAATCCCATTTGCAGTCATGTTTTTTTAAACATGCCGCGTTGTGGTTGGTCATGTTACTTAAGAAGCAATAGTGTTTTGTGTCAGTGCCATCAGAATTGGCTCAAAGCGATAAAAGGCAGCATTTTCCTTTTTGGCCACATGCATGAGTGAGATTTAAGAGCTGTAGTGTAGGGGATGGTTTTAAAGTCGGCATGAAATCAAAATTGACTATTCTTATTTTTTGTTCCGTGCACTTAATTATTTAAAAAAAATTAATGTGCCCTCGTTATCTTTAATCAAAAACGTTAATCTCCATTAAAACGACTCCTCTACTCTTCCGGTCACGAGCTATGGCTCAAGGGCGGAGCTATCTGGAACTGCCAACAGCTGCAGTGACATCAGTGACGTTTGGAATAAACGACAGGGGGAAAAGCTGAAGCTGATGCTTCACTTTATAGCACTGACACCAGTCATAAGGGAGTACGTTACCCTTAAACATTGAAAAGATATTATGACAACATTACTCTTAGAACATCGCAAACTCATTATTATTTTTTTTCATGAATATGACTTAACTTGGAGGATGCGCTCAGTCATTCAGGCAGCCTCTCTGTCTCTCGCCCGCATGTGCGCTGTTTAGGCATTTTTTGTGCCGTTGATCGTCGTCGTCATCCTCAATAAAAAAAACAATTTATTCATGCTTTGGTGTCGGCGGTGAATCCAGTGGAGAGAAATCCCCCAC